TACTTCTGGTGGCAAGAACATCCTGTCAAAGTTTCTACAGCCTCCCAAAGTAACAGTACTAGCTGGCAAACAAACATTGAGCACATGAGCCCAAGGGGGACATTTCAGATTAAACCATAACATGGACCCTAGAGTTAGCTACCATTATTAGGGTGCCCTGGGAAGTGAATCATGGCATGTGTATATGGTCTTCTACTGAGGGTATGTCTATTTGTATATTTTAAGGTTAGAGTGATTATTTTTCTTTTTTTCCTTTTTGTGCTGCTTAAGATGATACCTACGGCCTTGTGCATTGTAGGCAAAGGCTCTTACTGAGTCACCTCCTCAACTCAACAGTGGCTTTTCCACCTCTATCTAATGAAGGAAGGCCTTTCATCCACAGACTCAGCAGATGCCATTTTCTAGACCTCCCCACCACCGTCCCCTTGCTCTCCCCACCTACCTCTTTCTGGCCTCTAATGACCCCAGGCTTCATTCTTGCTTTCCTCTCTTCCCCATTCACACAATGAGCTCTAGCTGCTCTTACCTAGCCCTAGAGGTTGAATATGCAGATGATTATAGCATGTTTGTTTTTTCCATCACCATTTGTTCTCTCAGGTGCTAAACCTGTATATCCATCTTTCTGAGTGACAGCTCCTCAGGAACAGACATCAGAAGCATCTCACAGTGATACAATATCTCAAATTGGTAGTCTCCCATGTTCTTGCCTGTTGCCTCTGCCCTTTCCTAGCTGACCTTTGCTCTGAACCCTGTACCGTCTGGCTCCTCTTCATCCATCATCCATTGCCACCTGAGGGCTGGTTTTCTCACCCTTGATGGTACTGCTGATCTGCTGTATCTCTGCGTCTACTCCACAGCCTCTTGCTGTTGTGAGCCATCATCATCTGTCTCTTGGAGCAGGGTTTCCCACAACCCTTTGACCTTTGTAGTAAGAAGCATACATCATGCTGCAATCTAGGAGACATATTCAACAAAAGCCAGAGAACAGTACTTAACCTTTAGTTTCTGTAGTGCACTGTGATATTTCATGGGAGTGTGCGTGTGTGTTATTAGTTGAAATATATGTAATTCATGTTGTGACTCAGTTTCAACTGTGGACGGTCGTTGGAAGAGTAGTTGGAAGAGCAGTGGTCTTCAATGTTGGTGTTTTAGGCAATCTGTGAAGTAAGTAGCATTGCTCCTGAACCCTTAGGAATGCAATTGTCAGCTCCCTATGAGTCTGTTCAGACAGCTTACGCTGAGACAGATCCCACCCATGCTCTTGAGTGATCATGGTGGCCCCACCATGGGTCCTTTAGCTTTTAGCTCAGCTGCCTGGACAGAGCTGCAGAGTCACTGTAGAGCCACCCAGCCTATGCTTTGCCAACACAATAATGACCTCCCACCTCATGTTCAACAAAATCCAGCAGGCCTCTTTATTCAACCAGGCCACTGCTGGAGATGGCCGCATGTCAGTATCATCTGGAGGAATTAAAAGCACATAAATATCAACAAAACCAGTGCCTGAGACTTGAAAGAATGAGAATCTCTGGGTATGTAGTCAGGACTGATAAACAGCTTTGCAGCATCTGGTCCCTGCCTCCCTTCCACCATGGGCCTCTCTATGCTTGTGGCCTGCTAGACTCTACTCACATTGTCTACCTTACGAGTGCTTGAAAACAGCTAGTGTCTTTCCACGCACAGGTCTTTGCATTCACTATACTTTTCTGCTTGGAATTCTCTTCCGTCACCTGTTTTGTGTCTCTCTGCCGATACCTCCTGACCTTCCTGTTCTGTCACCTTTACCCCTTTAGCGGCTTCATGGTGTTTTAATACTCCACTCTACTTGGAGTCCTGTATTTTGTGTTGCTTCATTTCTGATTTTCCTTCCCTCCCTTTGGAATTTAAGCTGTGTGTGAGACTATACAGAGACCTTGCCCATCTTGCTCGCCACTGTGTTTTTAGTATCTGGAACTGTGTCTGATTCAAAGATAATTCAGAATTTGCATTATTTCTTTTCTTTCTTTTTTTTTTTGTTGGTTTTTGTGTTTTCAAGGCAGGGTTTCTCTGTGTAACAGCCCTGGCTACCCTGGAACTCACTTTTTAGACCAGGCTGACCTTGAACTCACAGAGATCCCCTGGCCTCTGCCTCCCGAGTGCTGGGATTAGAAATGTGTGCCACTATTGCCCAGCCAGAATTCACATTACTCATGAACAGGAGTAGCAGGCTCATGGTAAAGCTCAATGGTAGAGGGCTTGCCTAGCATACCCAAGGCCCTGGGTTCCATCCCAGCCCTGCAAACCAACAGCTGGAAGTAACATAAAAGACTGAATATAGAATGGCTTTGCTGGCTCTCTGGCTTCCCTGGCTGGACAAGGGAGGAAGAATACTTTGCTCGTAGTCATTTGTCACACTGGACCTGGTCATGTATTTTGATTCAAGATGGCATTTTTCCTTTTTTACCTAGGGAAGAAATAAAGAGGAGGAAGGAAGGAAGGACAAGACAAGACAATGTCATTATCTTTCTAAAGCAGAGTGTCTGTTTCTAGATTACTAGGTCTTTGCTGACTTTTTCATTTCACCTGACCATTTTTCTTTCACAATCGAACGCAGCATTTGCACTTGTCACCGGACCATGTTTGTCACAGGTTGTTCTAGCTTGGGTATAGAGGGAATGAATTTAACGTGATGGCTTACTTGGACTTAGTAGAAAAAAAATTTTTTTTTCAGCCTTCATCTAGAGCAGTGTCAGTTGAACAGTCAGAGCTGACATAACCATCTTATGTAATCAGACATTTCAAGGATGCAAATTGGAAAGCTTTTGTAGCTAGGCTTTAGAACTCCTTTTACTGTGTCTGCTTTGAGCCTTGGGCTTCCTGCTTCTGATCCTGTTCCCTTGATACAGCCTTTTCAGGTGGTTAATTCAGAGCTGGGGTTCTGAAGGATTCTTGGGCTTTTGAAAGAGAATGTCTATGTGTAATAAAATTTGGGCAAGTACAGAAGATCATGTCAGTCTTATCTTTTTAAAAGACATACCACCACAGCCTGCTGGCCATACCTGGGAAGGCTGGGAGGTAGCTTGACCAGTCTCTGAGCAGTCTAGGTAGGATACTCAGTCCTCTGCCTTTGGTGATGCTGAGTGTAAAACCATATGGTGTCTTGTCTCACATCTGTCTTTGAGTACTGGTGGTATTCAGTGCATATCAAACATTGTGCTAAAATTTGCTCATTATATATAAAATGCATGGTCATTGATTTCCTGGAGAATAGTTCCTGTTGCTTTTTCTTCATGGCCTTTTTATTAATCGTAGTCTTTGAAGGTACAAACATCGAAAACCCCAGCTTTCATATGCTGGTTTGATGTGTGATGTCCTTCTGTATAGGTGTTGGTCTTCTTGGTTAATGAATAAAGCTGCTTTGGCCTATAGTATAGGGCAGAATATAGCCAAGCTGAAATAAATAAATAAATAAATAAATAAATAAATAAATAAATAAATAAATATATATATATATATATATATATATATAGAGAGAGAGAGAGAGAGAGAGAGAGAGAGAGAGAGAAAAGGTGGAGTCAAGGAGATGCTGTGTAGCTGCCAAAAGAGGCAGACGCCATGGAGCTGCTCAGAAAGCAAGAGGTAACAAACCACAAGCCCCATGGGAAAATACAAAATAATAGAAATGGGTAAATTTAATATATAAGAGCTTTCTAGAAATACGCCTGAATTGTTGGTCAAACAGTGTTGTAATTCATATAGTTTCTGTGTGATTATTTAGGTCTGGGCATCCAGGAAATGAAAGAACAGTCTCCAGTTACAAAATGGAAACCTCTAAAAAACTTAAGGGGGAAGAAGAGGGCTTATTTACCCACAAAAAATGGGAGCCAACCACAGCTTCTTGGCAGTCACATTATTTTTCAGATAGGCTCTGTTTGCAGACCACAAGCAGAGGCATAGCTCCTTTAAATAATGGTTTAATGATTCATACTAGCAGCATAAAGGAATTGCTCTGCCTCTTTCGTGAGGTCTGGCTATGGTGCACTTGAGTGGGGTTTATGAGCAGAGTGCTATGAATTGTTTGCTTAATGGTGACATAGACCTGCTCCGTATATGGAGCTGGGGTGGTGAGCATGGCTCACAGAGGTGATACCTTTGCCATGTTGGATAGGGTTGAGCCAACAGGCAGGGCCATGGAGTTAGTACTATCCTGCTTAGCTTTAAAAATTTTTTTTAAAAGGTGCTTCTAGTCAGATTCGCGATTACAGATATGCAATAAAGACAGATTCAGACAAATTCAGACAAAAATGAACTTCTGAACAGGTCACAGTGTGTTTTAAATGTCTGTAGGCTTGGGAGAAAGGAAAAAGAGTATAGACAGTTATAGAACAGTAAAAGTAATATAAAAGGGTATAGACAGTAATAGATTTAAAAAGATAATAAAATAAGCATTACAAAACCACACAAAGATGGAAAATTCACAGAGTCTGGATTATGTGTATTATTGTGTTTTCTTTGAATGTTTGACTGCAGAGAGACATTTGATTCTGGGGGCTGCTAACCTAAGCTAACATATATATTTTAAAGATATTTTCGCTTCACAATTTCAGTCTAAGTATATGTTACATTGGAAAAGAGGTTCTGCTTTTGTTTTCACAGAAGATTAGAACCTGTAAATTTCTTTCAGGCTAATGTGTTTTGATGGACCAAGATCCCCTGAAAGGTCTTCGTGAACCCTAAAAATACTTTACCAAACAGACAGCAGGAAGCAGTCGGAGAAAACAATTCACAAATTCACAAAATAATTGTTTATAAATGTTTGATTTCATTTATAAAGGGATATGATATAGAAATGAATACTTTGCATTGGTATGGGTCTTGATCTATTAATACAAAGTTAAGGTCAATTTTGTTGTATGTATATTTCTACTTTTGTTTAAGGTATTATTCAGCTCTGTAATCTGTAGATAAGAAATAGATAAATAGGTAGTTAGCTATAATAATCAAACTTTTAATTACTTTAGGTTTTCTGGATATAAAGAGATACATTTCAGTTAGATAATCTTCAGTGCTTCAAAGACCTACAGAATATAGCATTTAAACTGTTTCAAGTCTAGATGGATAATCTTCAACACTTCAAAGACCTACAGAATATGGCATTTAAAATGTTTCAAGAACTTAGACTTTTCGTGACAGTGAGACATGTCTGCATCTGGCAATACCAATTACTTCAGAGAGGTTGATGGGCATTGAAGAAACTCATTATGGAATTTGCCTTCAGTGTGACAAGGCTAACCATTTGGGCAAGAAACTGGTCTTGCATGGACTGCTTGATGGTACACTGTATGAACTGGACATGCAGGGCCCACAGAAAAGTGACTGCAGAACTTTCCAGAAAATGGAATGCTTCTTTAGGATTCCTGCTTCATAGAAGAAATTGCCAGACATTATGAAGGACACAGAAGAAAGCAACTAATGAACTTTGCCATTACAAGGCAGAACAGATCTTCAAATTTCCTGCCTCATGGACAAGTTTGCCAGATACTATGGGCCTATAGGCTGAAATTGGATGCCCCAGTGTTATAGAAGAACTTTCAGTGACTGTCTGCAGTGAGATGTCTCTCTCAATTCTAAAGTTTTGGAAGTTTCTTACAATGTACTTCCTATTTACTTAGGTCATATTATATCCTTCTGGGGTCTTTGGTATAGTTGAAGACAGATAGTTATAATTTTCCTTAGTTATGATAAAAGATAAATTAGATATAAAACTTTATACTCACAAAGAAATATTCTATAATTCTTGCTTAATAACTGTTTTGTATATGTAATTTTACTATGTTAGAGTTAAAACCTTACTTTTATTTAGACAGAAAAGGGGAGATGATGTGTGATATCCTTCTGTATATGTGTTGCTCTTATTGGTTAATGAATAAAACTGCTTTGGCCTATGACAGGGTAGAATATAGACAGGCTGAAAGATATATATATATATATATATATATATATATATATAGAGAGAGAGAGAGAGAGAGAGAGAGAGTAGGCAGCGTCAAGGAGATGCCATGTAGCTGTCAAAGGAGGCAGACACTATGTAGCTGCCCAAGAAGCAAGAGGTAACAAACCAGGAGCCTCATGATAAAAATAATAGAAATGGATTAATTTAAGATATAAGAGCTATCTAGAAATATGTCTGAGTTGTTGTAGTTAATATAGTTTTATGTGATTATTCAGGTCTGGGCAGCTGGGAAACAAACAAGCAGCTTCCACTTCCACTGGCTTATGTAACAGGCCAGGGCAGAGAAACTCAAGGGATGGTACCCCATCCTTAGGGATTGAACTCTGCCCCTTCTCCAGTTTTCATCTGCTTTCCTATGGGTGAAGCAATTCTGTGTCCATTCCTACCTTGATGATATCCAAATCCTTGTCAGTAGCTCTAGATGTAAACCTTCCTTTTTACAGCTTGTCCAGAAGGAGAGAGACTCTGCTTAACTCCTCTATGGGTTCAGTCCGCTAACTGTAGAGTCAAAGACTTCATCACTGAGGCCAGGGCAGAGTTCTGTCTCTGCCTAGTGCTAGCTCATAGAATTTCTTTAGAGTAGAGAGATGCAGTAGCTGCACTCAAGTACATAGGCTCTGAGTGACAGAAGGCTAGTTCCCTGAGGAAATGGGAGTGGTGGCACTAGAAGTCCTTCTTGGACACTGGTCTTTCCTGGGCATACAATGAACAGTTAGCTTCTTGACATGATCACTGGACATGGTTCCATAGTCTGATAACTGAGGATGTGCTGTTCGCCGTAAGAGAACATGCCTGTGTCAAGAGGTCCCCTCCTTACTTCTTACACTCATAAAACATTGGGTTGATTTCAGCTCTTCTGACTGTTGTCTTGAACCTTGCTGGGTCTGCCTACTAACATCCATGGGATATACATGTGGCATGTTCATATGGCTTATGAACATACACTTATTTCCTTCTTCTGATTAGCTGTTTCATTTGCAAACACAAAGCTTAGACATAGTCACCTTGGGCCCTAAAACTTGACTCTGCTTTTTCAGAAACAGAATATTTGACCCAAGAGAGTAAGAGTCTAGAGCAGATTTGCATTTATCATTTGTCTAATAGTATTTCCATTATATTGAATGCATGGGATCGCAAAGGCATGAATGTAGGCTGGGGTTTATGTAGCTGAGTGGTAGAGCACCTGCACATCATGGATATCCTTGGGTTCCATCCTCAGCAGTAGAAAACAAAACAGAACAGAATAAGCACAACGACGGGATTGGTGAGAGACTTATTTTTCTAATAATACTTGGGAAAAAAATGAGTCAGATGGAGCCTCATTGCCCATTAGGCATATAGAATACTGTAAAACACGGGGGTAGCTGTGTTCTAGTATAATTCCATTATAAGACATGAGAAATGCTTAATAAATTTATGTAACATATCAGGTGACTCTACTTTAAAGAGAACATATGGCACGTAGTAAAGACATGCAAGATGAGGCTAGATGTAAAGACAGGCAAGGGGGTTGAGACTCTTACCTTGAGGGATGATTTCATGGGGTTCAGGATCTGCTTCCAGTAAAGACCTTTGAGGATTTCTGGGTAGGGATGGATGGAGTCAATCAGCAGGTGCTTCAGAAAGTGAACTTTGGCAGTCACCTGAAAGATTGGAACCAGAGAGACTCCTGGGAGAGTCCAGGTGAAAGACTATAAGTGGGGGTTCGAAGCTCCCAGTGAAGCAGCAGAAAAGGTGGGGGTGGCCTTAAGTAGGAAGCAGTATCTCTGGGGCGTGTTCACCAGCTTTGGAAGATTTGAGGAGGAAAGCAAAGGTAATATAAACAGCCCTTGCTGACTCCCAGAAAAGTAAAGGGTAGCAAGAGTTAAGGCAGATGCTTGTCAGAATGACTAGGTACTGAATGAGGCAGGGGCAGGAAATGATTTGACCTTGGTTAATGCAGACAAGTCCAAGAGGCGTAGATGGCAGCCATCCAGATCCCAGAAGGAACCAGCTGAGATCTAAACTGCTATGGGGTTATTTACCAAGAACCGAAGGCCTAGTCTGGGGTGTAGGATGGAGGGTGGAGCTGCAGAGCAACTGCCTATGGCTCAGATACAGCCAGGAATGTAAGTCACAGCACAGATGTTACAGTGGGTGCTGTGGGTGCTTGGCCTGGATTCTTGTTTCTGTGGTTCTTTAGCTATAGAGGCCAGACTCACCATCAAAGAACCACCACCTCTTCCTGAGATTCAGCAAGCCTAGAGGGCTGGGGGTGTTCCCCTCTCATGCCCTCACTGGGACTGCTGGGGCAGAAGTCTGAAAGTCCAGTGGCACAGCCCGGCTTCAGGGGACATAAGCAGTATTCGGAGTTGATATGGAGCATGCTGAAGTGATTTTCCTCCAGACCCTTGCCTGAAACCCACCCTGATCACTTTGACTCATTACCCTACTTGCTTCTGTCACCTCCTATCAGGTTTACCTGAGGAGCACTTTCTTAGTAAGTCAGTTAGATGTGAGTCTCTCTTCCAGGGTCCCCTTCAAGGGACCATAATCCAATATAGAATTTGGTATTTTTTTTTTTTTTTTTTAGGTAAAAGAGATCCATGTCTGGTGTATGGTTGACAAGAGCTGGGCTGCTTGACATTCCTTGCTTTTCTATCCCTATCGTGTGCCTGTACCTACTGAGGCCTTTCGCTGGCCCTTAGCCCCGTTATCTCGGCAATAAAGTGGTTGGTAGCAAGGAAAAGGAGGAGAATGGACTCTGTATAAGCATAGACTGTCTGCTACCAGGCTTTAAGAGGAAACTGAGATGATGTCATGCAGGGGAGTGGGAGGGAGGTGTGCCAGGAGGTTGGGGGTATCCGTAATAGGTATGAATTTAGACTGTATTAAAATCCTCCTAGTCTTACCATTCCCATGGTGCATATCTTGGACCAGTTGCTAAGCATCAGTTTACCCATCTAAAAAGTGAGTCTAGCTATAGACAGTCAGTCTAGCTACTATGATAGTTAAGAGAATCCATTAATGAGATTCTCATAATAATGTCCATAGCCGTCAATTTTGAACAATTGCCATATGAGGAATAGAATAATCAATATATCTCTCTGTGTTAGTGTCTGCACATGTGTCCATGGTTGACATCTGGTGTCTTTCTCTGCCACTCTCCACATTACTTTTTGAGACAGCGTCTCCTGACAAACTTGGATCTCACCAGTTGGTTAGACTGGCTGGCAGGCAAGTCTCTGCAATCCTCTGTCTGTCTTGTGGTATTAAGGTAATAAATACTTACTGCCATTCTTTAATTTTGTTTGTTTCGTATTTATTTGATGTGTCTTTCACACCATGTATCTTGATTTCATTCATTTCCTGTCCCTTCACATCTACCCTCCGCCCCTGCACCCACCCCCAAACAAAATAAAATTCAAGAGAAAAAAGGAAGAAAATAAATGGAAAAAATAAAAATAGGAAAAAAATAATCTCATCATGGAAGTTGCTGTGCAACCCAACAAGTCACGCCATATACCCCTTTGTCCAAACTCTCTACATGCAAGTGTTTATTGCAAGGAGTCATTGGTTCCGTATGAGGCTCCTGGTCTCCACTACACAATCAATGTTGGGCCCCCACTAGGAGTCTTCCTGAACATCCCACTACTACCTTGTGTTGTGGAAATCCTGCAAATTTGGGGCTGCAGGTCAGGTCCCTTAACATGCTCCAGCAGATTATAGATTGGGCAGACCAAGTCATAAGCCTGGGTCTGAGCCTGACCTGAGCAGCAGCTGTAGGGTTGGTCCGCCAGGTGGGGAATGGGGACAGCTCTCCCATGGTTACCATTTCGGGACTGGCTTACTCACACCTCTGTTGACAGCAAGGTGCAGAAACTGCTCTTCTGAGTGTTGCAGCTGGTGGGGATTAGGGATAGCTCTCTCACTCTTATGACCACAGGGCCAGAGCTCGCCCACCTGCCCTTGGTGTTGATGGGCATGAGGGAGGGCATCTGTCCCTAGCCCCTGTCATGTGGCAGATGAGGGGTGGTGCTAGATCTCCCACACATACATCCTCAGGGTTGGCTCACCTGTGCTTTCATCAACAGGGTCAACTCTGCATGATACCTAGACAAATTGCAGGGTTTGCTTAAAGGGTCAGCTCCCTGACCATCTCAGACCTCTCCCTTCCTCTCTCATCTGTTCAGATATGCATCTGTCCACCGGGCCTGAACCCTCCCCACTCTTTCCCTCTCCCTCACTCTGTAAGTCACCATACCATACTTCTGCTCATTCTAATAGTGCCCATTTGGCTGGTGCTGCAAGGTACTGGGTGGACCCATGCTTTCATCGTGGAGCCCTGGGTGGTCAACCCCAGACTGGAGTATGATCTCCCTGTCTCACTCAGGTAGCCGCGATTCTGGACTAGGCCATGCTTCCTCATCATATGGAGATCACTGCAGTGCCTAACCACCTGTTGCCATAGGCACTACTGGGTAGGCTCTTGGTTGGTGTGTTTGCCTGCGTTTGGCATGGCATAGGCTCTTGGCTAGAGTTCTGCTGTGAGCCAGGGTTAGATTTCCTGCCCCACTACACTGCTAATTCAGGCAGCTCCTTCTTGATTATGGGCCCTAAGTTTGGGGTGGGTGGCAGCTCTTGCTTTGGTATTTTTTATATGGGTGCTGGGAATCCCAATTCAGGTCTTCGTGCTTACTTAGTAGGCACTTTTCCCACTGAGCCATCTCTCCAGCCCTCGGAGATTTTTTTTAAAAGAGAACCACAATCTCCCCAGCAATCTCCCTCTAATATTTTTTTATTTTACATGCATGGGTATTTTGCTTGCATGTATGTCTGTGTACTACATGTGTACTTGGTGCTGGGGAAGCCAGGAGAGTACATCAGATCTCTGGAAC